AAAAAAAAAAAGGAAAAGAAAGAGGAGGAGAAAAATAAAAAAGACTTGACAAGTCAGAGGGTGGTCTCACAACTATTTAACTCAGCCTCCTAGGCAGATACGAAACATGGAAATGTAAATGAGTGGGTGGGGGCATATGTCAGTAAAACTTTATTTACAAGAACAAGAGGGGGGCCATGCTTGGCCTCCTTTTCTAGGACTTGAACCTAGCCTGGTATGAAAACCGGCATAGCATAGCACTAGGGTTAAACCGAGCACTGAGCTAGGGGTTGGTGGTATACACCTCCAGCCCCAACATTCAGGAAGCTGAGGCAGGAGGATCGCAAGTTAAAGCAAAACCTGGGCAACTCAGCAATTTGGGAGACCTTGTCACAAAAAAAGTTTTAAGGGGGGGCTGGGGATGGAGCTCAGTGCAAAAACCCCGGGTTCCATCCCTGGTGCTGAAACAAGAGAAACAAAACCACACTGGGGACACCGCTGTCCCACAGGCCCCGGAAAGCTACCTTTCCCACGGAGAAAAGCCACCCCAGGGCCCAGGAGGGAAAACGTGGGCCCAGAGCGTGGCCTGCAGGGCTGGACCATGAGCCGGAGAACCTGACCTTGCGCTCCTGGCTTCTATGCGGGGAAGGAATGTAGGCCTGGCAGACACTCACTCCGTCAGGGGCGAGGAAGGACACCGCAGGGCTGAGCCCTGCGACGCAGCCCTGGGGGACGTCGGCCATGGTTCTGGGACTCCAGCGGCTTCCCAGGCCGAGCACGTTGTGCGGTAACATAGCACCGGGCCCGGCCGGCCCGAGGGTTACTCCGTCCTTGTATACAGCAGGTGTTCGGTGGGTGCCTGGCGGAACGCCGCCCCTCAGCACATGTGCCCGGGAGCCGTATGGGAGCTGGGCGGGCTTGGCCCACCTCTCTCGCCAGGTAGAGGACCCACACTGGCAAGGTGCGCCCCAGCTGGCATTTCTGCACCCGCCCGCCCTCAGAGCGCAGATTGAGCCCTGGGTTTTTCTTGTTTGGTTTGGTAGCAGGGATGGAACCCAGAGCCTTTGCACTGAGCTACATTCCTAGCCTATCTTATTTTTTTAATCTATCTATCTATCTATCTATCTATCTATCTATCTATTTATTTTGAAGTATGGTCTCACTATGTAGTTCAACCTGGTCTTGAACTTGCTCATGTAGCCCAGGCCGGCCTTGAACTCACAGGATCCTCCTGCCTCAGCCTCCTCACTGCTGGGATTACAGGTGTGCGCCACCATGCCCGGCTACCCTTTTACTTTTTATTTTGAAACGGGGACTTGCTCAGTTACTAAATCACTCGTGCTGCTCCCAAACTTGCGATCCTCCTGCCTCAGCTTCCCACAGCACTGGAATGACAGGGGTGCAGCACCCTGCCTGGTTCCCTAGGGTCTTCTTTTTGTTTTGTTTTTGGTACTGGGAATCAACCACTCGGGACCTCACGCTTGCCAGGCAGGCGCCTGTGCCGCTGAGCTATACCCCAGCCCTTCTAGGGGCTTCCACTGGAGACGCTGCCCTCACCTTTTCCGTGGGCTGCTGCAGGATGGGCAGGTTCTCCTCCAGCTTGTCCAGCCCCCGGTGGGCATATTCGCTGGCTGAAGCCACTGCGGGAGGGGGAAGGGAGAAAGGAAAAACCCAACCGTGAGCCAGGCACGGTGGCGCACACCCATCATCCCAGCACTCAGGAGGCTGAGGCAGGACTGAGCCCAAGGCCAGCCTGAACTGCACCCTGAGACCCTGCCTCAAATAACACACAACTCCAGCTATGGCTGTGGCTGAGAAGTCTGGGCCTGGTCCTGGGGGGACAGAGCCAGGGCTGGGGCAGATGCCCCAGGAGAGGCGGGGGGACAGTCCCCACGTTCTAGGGCCTCCGTCACTCACGCTGAGGCTCCAGCCGAGACAGGATGGGCTGCGCCCCGCTGACCGCGGCCGCTGTGAGGGTCCTCACGCCCTTCTCCGCCGCGTCACACACGGTCCTCACGTGGGGGTGGCTGTCCTTGGTGGAGGCGTAGGCGGCTGACACCATGTCGCAGGTGGAGCTGATGAGCGGCAGGTTGGTCACGCGGTCCACCACGCGGGGCTGCGGGGAGGGCGCAGAGGCAGCTGGTGGGCGCAGGCCCGAAACTCGGGCACCTGCGCATCTGCTTCAGTTATGTTTGGGGGCTGGGGGTGGGGCCGGGGTCTTCCCACCCAGCTCCATCCCAGCCCTTTCTTATGTTTTTCTTTTGAGCTCACAGGAGGCCCTGGGTTCATCCAGGAGACTGAACTCTCCTGTGCTCTGGGGTCACCTGCCTTAGTCGACAGTTCTAAGAGGTGCACGGCACTGTTGCAATTTCACAGGTGGGGAAACTGGGGCCCAAAGAGGCCACAGAAATCGGCCCGTCACAAATCGAGCTGGTCCTGGATGTGAGCGGAGTGCCGGGGGCCGACACTCCACGCTCTGGGGGCTCCGGAAGTCAGCGTGTGCCCGAGGGCCCACGTGGATCCCCAGCACCACAAAAACAAAAACTAGCCTTGACTGCAGGGTCCAGGGACGGCGAACTCAAGTCCAGGCGCGAGTCTTAACAGCCAGAAAGTAGAAATGGCCCAACTGCCCTCCGGCAGGGGAATAGATTAAAAACACGTATAAAACACATTTTGAGCCAGGTATGGCGGTACATGCCTATGAAGCCAGCACCCAGGAGGCTGAGGCAGGAGGATCACCAAGAGTTCCGGCCAGCCTGAGCTACATAGTGAGTTTAAGAGCAGCCTGAACTACACAGTGAGACTCTGTGTAAAAAAAAAAAAAAAAAAAAGAATAGAAAGAGAAAAAAAAGAAAGAAAAAAGAGCCCCCCTCCATCCTGTACATAAATCAGGGGGTTCGGGCAGTTCCAGCACCAGGCTGTCCTTACCTGCTGTACTGGTTCCTCCGGGGCCACTGTGATGTCCTCATGGGCCTCTGTCCCTTGTGCAGCCATGGTCTCAGCAGCGGGCACTGCGGGCAGAGGGACTGTTGGGGGCGGAAACCCGGGCCCACACCAGGCCAGGGCACACAGGGCTCAAAATCGCCCTGGACCTCCTCATTCCTTGCAGCTGGGCCCCCGTCTCTGGGGGACGTGTGCCCCGTGCTAAACAGCAGGTGTGACTCAAAGTCGGACGGGAAAAACCTGACTCAGCTAGTTTCTTCTTCCGGTACTGGGGCCTTCACGCTGAGCTGCTTCCCCAGGCTTTTTTATTTTTTAATCTAAGACAGGGTCTTGCTAAGTTACTGGAACTGGACTGGAACTTGTGATCCTCCTGCCTCATCCTCCCTCCGGAGCAGCTGAGTTGACAGGCCTCACACGGCCTTCCCGGCTCCTCTTCCAGGGCCTCACCTTGGTCACCTCTAGGCCAGAGACACAGATCTGGGCCAGAACCTCACAGAGGCTGCCAACTGCTGCTAGGTGTCAGCAGCTGTCTTCCCTTTGCCCTGGAAACCTCCCTGCGGGGAAGACCTCGCTCACACCAGCTCTGCCACGAGGGCGGCGGTGTGTGCGCCTCCGGCAGCTATACCGCAACCTTGGGAGCAACCCAGAGGCCCAGTAGCCGGGGATTAAAGAAAATAGCACAGCGGGGTGTGGCGGCGCACACCTGTGATCCTAGCACTCTGGAGGCTGAGGCAGGAGGATTGCCAAAAGCTACAGGCCAGCCTGGGCTACATAGTGAGTTCACAACAAGCCTGAACTGCGAAGAGGGAGCTTGTCTCAAACAAACAAATAAATACAGTAACGCACACCATCCCCTAACCCTAGCAGGGCTTGACACTGACCTGTAACGTGGGTCAAGACAGTTAACAGCCAAATGTGCCAAATTGGGCAAGAGCTCTTCGTGGCTTGTGCAGACAGTGTTTAACGAGACACAAGACACTGAACAGTGGCCGCCTGTCAGGAAGGAGGACTGGGTAACTTGAGGTGGGGATGAGGCGGAGGGTTTAGAGTTTAAAGTCAGTGCCGGGCATGGGGGCACACACCTGTAATCCCAGCACTCAGGAGGCTGAGGCAGGAGAATCACTTCAAGGCCAGCCTGGGCTATAAAGTGAGCTCAAGGCCAGTCTGAACTGCATAGTGAGACCCTGTCTCAAAAAGACCAAAAAAAGAAAAAAGCCAGGGCAATGATATTACCTGTTCGAAATAGTTAAGGGCTTGGGGTGCAGCTCAAGGGTGTGTACTTGTGTACTTGCCTTGCACGTTTAATGCCCTGGGTTTGATCCCCAGCAATGGAAAGAAATAAAATTAAACTTTTAAAAAACTTGAACCAGGTTGAGTGTAATGGCTCATGCCTGTAATCCCAGCACTCAGGAGGCTGAGGCAGGAGGATTGCCATGAGTTCAAGGCTAGCCTGGGCTACACTGTGAGCTCAAGGCCAGGCTGAACTGTACAGCAAGACCCTGTCTCAAAAAAAAAAAATTAAATTAATTTTTAAAAAAACGGGGCTGGGGATTTAGCTCAGTGGCATAGCGCCTGCCTGGCAAGCACAAGGTCGTGAGTTTGATTTCGGGGGGGGGGGGGGCAAAAACAAAAATGCGGAGTGTGGTGGGACATGCCTGTGATCTCAGCATTTATGAGCACCAAATTTCTTAAGTCAGCCTGGGCAACTTAAGGGAAACACCGTGTCAAGGTAAAAGGTAAAAAGGCCTGGAGGTGGAGCTTCCAAGGCCCTGGTTTCCATCCCTCTGCGCAGGCAGAAAGTGGGTGGGGCCAGGAATGACCCGGCAGCTGGTTACCAAGGCCCCCCAGGCTGAGGGGGAAGGGAGAGAAGGACACACCTCAGCCTGCTGACCTCTACCTACAGCTCCCCTCGCCTCACCCCCTTGCCATCCTTAACACTCGGGGTATAGGGCAGATGGGGTCCTGGCCAGATCAGTGCCCCAGCTCCAGCCTCCACAGATGGCCAAGTCCCACTTAGGTCTCAGGCTGCTTCTGCCCGCCTCTGTCCATCAGCCCCTCCCGGAGCTGGTCACCCGGAGTGCCATGGGCTCCTTGCAAGACCTCAGGGTTAGCAACCTGCATGCAGCTGGCTCCTGCAGCCAGACTGCTCTGGTGGGAGCTGACGCAACTCCCGCAAAACAACCCCATGGCAAGTCCACTTCCTCCTCTCACAAACTGTCCTCCCGGCACTCAGGGAGGCTGAGGCAGGAGGATCCAAAATTCAAGCCACCAGGTGTGGTGGTGCACACCTGTAATCCCAGCACTCAGGAGCTGAGGCAGAAGGTCTGCTTCGAGTGCGAGGCCAGCCTGGGCTACAAAGTGTGTTTCAGGCCAGCCCAAACTGCATAGCGAGACCCTGTCTCAAAAAGACCAAAAACAAACAAACAAACAAACAACAAAAAAAAAACAACAAAAACTTCGCTTACAGCTCAGAGAAAAGGACTGGGACTCAGTCCCCAGCGCAAAAAGAAAAGACGTAAGACTAAGGAATTCCAAGAGATCAAGGTCCCAGGCCCAACGTGGAGCAGAGCCCCACGGCAGATAAAGCTTTCGCAATTTCCCGGCCACACCCACCCATGGGAACGGCCGGAGTTGCCCAGGAAAGACCCCCAGGTGCCAGCCAGAGCTGGGGGTTGCTTGGGGGGGTGGTTAAGAGGGCCTGGGAGGGAGAGAGGGCGGAGTCCCCGGGCCACCAAACTTGGTGTTGTTGCAAAAAGCAGCCCGGGCTTCCAGCGCAGAGAGGATCGGGAGAGGACAGGATGTGGCCGCCCCCTTGATACTAAGTAGCTCTCTGTCCCGGGCAAGGCGAGCACAGTGTAGAGTTCCAGTCTGTTACAGAAGTTACATTTCCCGGAGACGGGGGGCCAGGGCCCTCCTTCCCTAGGGTTCCTCAGGATCCCAAGGACCCCACCACCCCAGGTCGCCCCGAGGCCCCCCGCTTCTCACCGCAGAAGTCCTCAAACTCCAAGGCCAGGGAAGAAAGTGGCCGGGAGGGGGCGGGGCGGGATTTTACCCCGTGGGAGGGCGGGTCCCGGGAGTGACGGCCCGCACAGCCAATCATGGGGGGGCCTGCCAGCCGCCGGTCCCGCCTCTTCTGCCGGGGGCCCAGGATGTGACAGTCTCTTAGTAAAGTCAATGTAGGACCCTGCGCCCTGGCTTTGGAGAAGACAGAAGACCTTGGACGGCTCTGGACCTAGAAAAGGGGCGCCCCTTCCCCACCCGGGGATTCTGTGAGCTCAGCCCTGGGTGGTGACTGGGTACAGTCCGGGGCACACTGCTTGGGGGCTGGCGGGGGTGTCACAGGCCCCCATTTCTGCAGAGAAGGAAGGAAAGCTTCGAGGTCTCGGTGATGGTTGCTGGAGGGCGCCAGGGTGAAGGCTCCATGTCCCACCCAGCAGTAGAAACAACCCGAATCCCCTTAGTCAGCATGAACTCAAAGCTTTCTGCCTGCACACCCCCAAACCCAGCCTCTCAATCCTCCCAGCACTGTGTTGTTCCTTTGTCAGCCTCATTTCATAGACGCAGAGGCCCAGAGACAGTCAGCCAGTGAGGCTACCGGCTGCAAGCCTCAGGCTCTCTGACTCCTGGATCAACCCCTTCCTGAAGCTGCCATACCTTTTTCTTCCCCCAGACGATTATTCTTTCTTTGTCCTTTTGGTCTCTAATCCAAGATCTGAGACTCAGATGGCTCTAGAAGCTGGGCAGGAGGGGAAAGCAGCATGCCTGGCCCTGGAACAGCAGAGCCTTGCCCTGGGGAAGACTCACTGGGGACTGGAAGATCTACAGGAAGTCAGATCAGAAATGGCCTGCCTCTCAGAACACTACTGGGCCAAACAAAATCTGGCCGGGGCTGCATCCAGCCAGGGACCGCCCAGCTGCCACCTCTGCTAAATTAAATGGATGGAGTGGGACTTCCAGGGCCTCTGGAAAAAATATGGGGAAAATGAGATGTCAGAGCCTGCGTTTTCTCTGACCAGGCCAGCAGCATTGTACCACAGAACCCGGTGACGCCTCAGCAACGGGAATGTTCTAGAACTCTCCATCATCCCATAGTCACACCAAGGCTAACTCCAGCGGCTTTCAGTGCGGTGCTGCGGATGGAGGCAGAGCCGGGGTTGTGCCAGGCGAGCACTTGCCACTGAGCCTCATCTCCAGCCTGAGGAGGGGCGTCCAATTTTCTAGATTCTTTTTTGTCATTGTTGTTGCTTTGAGACGGGATCTCACTATTAGTTCAGGCTGGCCTCAAACTCACAGCAGTCTCCTGCCTCAGCCTCCAGAGTGCTGGGATTACAGGTGTGCACCACCGTGCCTTGCCACAGTATCCAATTTTAAAATTTGTTTTTATTTATTTATTTTTAGATAGGGTCTTGCTAAGCCACCATGTTGCCCAGATTGGGCTCAAGTTTTCGATCTTCCTGCCTCAGCCTCCAGAGTGCTGGGATGACAGGTGTGTGCCATCACACCTGATTGTCTAAATTTAACTAGCCACAAGTGATTCCTGAGTCACTCTGAGCCCCCCCCCCCCAGTGATTAAGGCAACATTCGCTCAGCTGTATTCATTATGCTCCGCCTGGCCAGGAGCAAAACATAAAAATCCAGCCCTGGGCCGCTGGGTGAGTTACTCTGTCAGGGTGATGAGCCAGCTGAAGTACGGTCACATGTGGGGGTGCAGATTTACCAGGGTGCTCAGGGGAGGCCTGCGCGGAGGAGCAGCCCGTGTGGCTGGAGCAGAGGGAGGAGGGGAGGTGGGGCTGGCTTACAGAGATGTGATTTATCCCAGGTCACACAGCGCAAAGGGCAGGGACCTAAGTCCCCAAATATCTCTGATAGGGGACAGAACCCAATTATGACATGGAAAATAAACTCCTAGCGATTCTGCCCCCCCACCTCTGGAGCAAAAAGGGACAGAGTAGAAGTTGGCCCCTGGGTACTGGGAGACCAGAGAGATGGCCACAAGCAGAGCATGCTGGGAGACTGGAGGTGGGGAGCCTGGCACAGCACACACACGCACACACACACACCCGCCATTGTGCATGTTATGGGGAGGGGAGGAGAAGGTTCCTAGCAGCAGCTCAAGGATTTCCTGAACTTTCTCTGCCTGGGACACTCCTGCCATTCCCGCACCACTGTGCCCTCCCTCTAGAAGCCTTCCTTCTTAACCCCCAGACTCTCCTAGAACTGGGGATGGCTGATGAAATCCAGGAAGCCAGGTGACATTTTAATTTCAGATCAATAACAAGTACTGTATTGCTTTTCTTTTGCTATAAGTACATCCCATGATGGCCAGGGATATAGCTCAGCAGCACGAGCGCCTGCCTGGCAAGCGCAAGGTCCTGAGTTTGATTCCTGATACAAAAAAAAAAAAAAGTATATCCCATGACATGTATGGGGTAAACTGACCCTCAAACACTCACTTGGCCAAGCGTGGTGGTGCATGCCTATAATCCCAGCACTCAGGAGGCTGAGGCAAGAGGATCTTTGTGAGATCAAAGCCAGCCTTCGTTACGAAGTGAGCTCAAGGCCAGCTTGAACTGCATAGCGGAGACCCTGTCTCAGAAAGACAAAAAAAAAAAAAACCACTCAAATGATCCTTCCCATCCTGGTGTAGTGATGCATGCCCGTCATCCTAGCACTGTAGGAGGCTGAGGCAGGAGGATCACACGTTCAAGCCCAGCCTGGGCAATTTAGTGACTTAGTGAGACCTTATTTCAAAATTTTTAAAAAGCCTGGGAGTGTAGTTCAGGGTGAAAAATTTGGGTTTAATTACTGATTCAAATTTCAAATTTAAATATATATGATGTTTATTTTGTTTTGTTTTCATTTGTGCTAAATCTGACCTCCCTACCTCAGACCCATGTCCTTCTGTTTGTACCACCCTGGCTCTGGGGGAGAGCCACCCTGCCACCTTCCAGGCTTGGGAGATTCCTTGAGGGCCATCCTCCTGCCTCAGCCTCCACAGTGCTGGGATGACAGGTGTGTATCACCATGCCTGGCTGTCTTTGAGGTTTTTATTTCTGAGTTTGCCTCCTCTTTTTTCCTCTCCACCAAAGCCATTCCTAACCAGAGAGCTCAGAAAATTGATCTCTTGGCTTCCACTAGGAATTGGGAAGCAGAGGCAGAAGAGCGTCCTGCCACATGGGGGCGCACTAGTCCCAGATGAACCCCTCCCACACCTGGCCCCGGTGTTTGCCCTCTGACATTTCCGAGTGTCTGTCCACCTACTCGTCACACCTTTCCTATTATCCATCAGCCAGGCTAGTGATTTACTGGTTATTTAGTCATTCAACAAACTTTTTTTTATTTTGGTCTTTTTGAGATGGTATCACTATGCAGTTCAGGCAGGCCTTGAGCT